TGTTTTAGCGACTGTTTTTTTTTCTTTTTCTTTTCCCCCACGGCACAAGCTGTCACTTATGTGTTGTTTTTACCTGTATGGGCCTATGGCCGCAATAAATATTATCTAAGAGCCATCTGCAGAAAGGGAGCCATTTAATAAGAAATGGAAATGGGAAGCAGACAGAGAGGCTTCTGGAGGAGATATGGTTCAACCCATCCCTAATTTTAAACCACTTTATCAAATAATTATCCTTCTGTGATAAAAGGCATTTCAAAATAAATATCAACCCCTACTTTTTTTAAACTGGAAAATGTTGCATAACCTCTGTCGAATCTGCCGGGTCTTCACACTATACACAACAGGATTGAGAAGTGGAGGGACCGTAACAAAAATGTTGGCCATCAGCATGTGGATAATAGGGGAAAGGTGTCTCCCAAATCGATGTGCCATACTGATGCCAATCATTGGCACATAGAAAATCAAAATGGCAGCAATGTGGGCCACACAGGTGTTCAATGCCTTCAGACTTTGATTGAGCTGAAAGGGAAACTGGGACACTCCCTCCACCACTGATTTGTGTAGCGGCTGTAGGTCTGAACTGGGAGTTGATAAATCTAAACATCCCAAACCAATGGTTCTTGAGGGGCCACCCACAGGGCGTTCCCTAAACACACCTTGCCTTTGAAGCATCTAGGCCCCACAGCTGAAGTTTCCACAAACATCCTTCCTGTTGGACCCACCTGGCATCCCAGGTGCATATATCAGTCTGTGAGCGGGCTTGGTGACCTCTTTGACACTTCTCTTCCTCCTGCTCAGAACAGGTTGTTAGTCTACTATTTACAAGTACCCACTGACCAAAAAAAGAAAGGTGAAAATTACAATGCAAAGTGGACATAAACACAGACGCAAACTGAAAGCAACATCAGAATTAAAACTGAACAGGAGAGATTATCCCTGTGCTTTTTATGGTGTTGACAAAAACATTTCCCCTCTGGGAGTGAGGCTGTATGAAAACTGCCAGAAAACTGCTTTGTCTCAGGGGAAGGAGATCTCTGAAAACCTGGTGGCAATTACTCGGAAATCTCTAAAGCTCCTGCGCAAGGTCCTGGAGGTCAGCTCTGGGCCAGACATTCTGGAGATCTTGTGTGTGCTCCTCTCTTTCATAAGGATAGACAAAGGAGATGTGCCCCAATGGGGGAGAAATTTGATTCTGTTTGCATTCAAAAGTGAACCTATCCAATCCATACTTTCTGGAACAACACCTCTGCCCTTCCTTACCAGCAACCCTTCATGCTGAGATATCACACCTCCTTGAAGATCTTGGGAAGCCTCAAGTTTTAGACCTTATTACAAATGTTTGGCTAGTTTTGTGGGGGTGGGAGGAAGAACAAAAGAGGGTGGAGTGAAGGAGGGCTGGCAAGGGAGCTGGCTTGAATGGAAGCCATCTATGCCATGAGAAATTGAGGGAAGATTGAACCGCTCAACCCGGGGGGGGGGCTACCTCTAAAAGTTTTGCAACAAAGTAGGGATGGGGGTGGACTTTGAATAGTTCCACAATTTGGAGTGAACCTCCTCATTCGACAAATGAAGGGCTGCGCTTGGATTGCAATGGGGACAGGCAAATTAGACTGTATGCCTAGAATCTGTACAAGAAGAGATTCCTCCAACTCATATTTTTTAATTTTTTATGATGTGGTCCAAGGAGACCCCTGGTTCTTTCTCCCCATGCTTTCTAACATAAATGGTTTCTAGATGCTTGCAGCACTTAGGATGCAAAAAGGTAAGAGGTAAAGAGCGAGGTGCAAATTTGGAAATGAGAATGGTAACTTAAGTAGAAATACTGTACATTTTCTCTCCATAGTGGGAGAGACTAGGTGACCGGTGTGCTTCTCTGCTCGGTCTACTTTCCCAGTGCAGCTGTGGATGGGCATCTTCAAGGTCCCTGATGTTCTCCTTAGAATCATAGAATCATAGAGTTGGAAGAGACCACAAGGGCCATCGAGTCCAACCCCCTGCCAAGCAGGAAACACCATCAGAGCACTCCTGACATATGGTTGTCAAGCCTCTGCTTAAAGACCTCCAAAAAGGGAGACTCCACCACACTCCTGGGCAGCAAATTCCACTGTCAAACAGCTCTTACTGTCAGGAAGTTCTTCCTAATGTTTAGGTGGAATCTTCTTTCTTGTAGTTTGGATCCATTGCTCCGTGTCCGCTTCTCTGGAGCAGCAGAAAACAACCTTTCTCCCTCCTCTATATGACATCCTTTTATATATTTGAACACGGCTATCATATCACCCCTTAACCTCCTCTTCTCCAGGCTAAACATGCCCAGCTCCCTTAGCCGTTCCTCATAAGGCATCGTTTCCAGGCCTTTGACCATTTTGGTTGCCCTCCTCTGGACACGTTCCAGTTTGTCAGTGTCCTTCTTGAACTGTGGTGCCCAGAACTGGACACAGTACTCCAGGTGAGGTCTGACCAGAGCAGAATACAGTGGCACTATTACTTCCCTTGATCTAGATGCTATACTCCTATTGATGCAGCCCAGAATTGCATTGGCTTTTTTAGCTGCTGCGTCACACTGTTGGCTCATGTCAAGTTTGTGGTCAACCAAGACTCCTAGATCCTTTTCACATGTACTGCTCTCAAGCCAGGTGTCACCCATCTTGTATTTGTGCCTCTCATTTTTTTTGCCCAAGTGCAATACTTTACATTTCTCCCTGTTAAAATTCATCTTTGTTTTGGCCCAGTTCTCTAATCTGTCAAGGTTGTTTTGAAGTGTGATCCTGTCCTCTGGGGTGTTAGCCACCCCTCCCAGTTTGGTGTCATCTGCAAATTTGATCAGGATGCCCTTGAGTCCATCATCCAAGTCGTTGATAAAGATGTTGAATAAGACCGGGCCCAAGACAGAACCCTGTGGCACCCCACTAGTCACTCTTCTCCAGGATGAAGAGGAACCATTGATGAGCACCCTTTGGGTTCGGTCAGTCAGCCAGTTACAAATCCACTGAGTGGTAGCATAGTCAAGACCGCATTTTACCAGCTTCTTTACAAGAATAGAGTAAACCACCTTCCTGGTGGTTCTTTATCATTAGATTGGCCATGCTTGGGATAGCCCTTCAAACAGAGGACTGTCCTCTGCCAAGCTGGACACTTGGTCACTGAAATATACTTGGAGTCGAGACTGGATTTCATACTCTTTATTCAGCTCATAGTGGTGAGGAGGAATGGAAGTTCCCCCAGAATGTCTGCTTTATATACATTATTTACACAATGGGCCCCACGTGATTGGCTAATTCTGGGATTCTCCTGTAGGCCAATCAGGTTGTGGATTCACTCCCACCTGGAGCTGGATTGGGTGGCTCCTGTGGACCAATCAGACTGCTGCATTTTGGGTCCTATTGTTCCAGGACCAATCAGACTGCTGCATTCTGAATCCTATTGTTCCAGGACCAATCAGACTGCTGCATTCTGAATCCTCTTGTTCTAGGACCAATCAGACTGCTGCATTTTGGATCCTATTCAACTCAGTACATAACAGTCACCCTAAGTCGAAATGGGTGAGTGGAAAATAGTTGTACCATAGGCAAAATTTCCTTATTATGGCCAAGTTGTCCTGGACTAGGAGGTGCAAGGAACTGAAAGGCAGCTAAAAACCAGCAGGAATATTTATTGGGGTGGATGTGGTGCCTCCATTCCCAGGAGAGGCAGGAACAACATGTCTTCTTATTCCTCCCTCAGCTGAGATCTGGCTTGTTATGGAAAAAATCAGTCACCCAGCTCGTCAGGCAGAGACAATGGGTCCTGCGGAATAAAGGAAGGAGTCCAGCCACCAACCGGAGCAAATAGCTGTAGACCAAAGTTTATTGCGCAACAGGTTCGAAGAGGAATTTTGAACCCCGAGGATGGGATGGCAAGGACTTTTAAAACTTTCCCACCATATCGCAGAATACAGTTCGTACAGCATCATTGCTACATCATTGATATGTCCCAAAAGGGGAGGGGTAGACAAGGGTTACACTAGTTTAACCTTGGCAAAGATGTCCAGACAAGTACCTGGTACAAGATTAGCATAAGCAGGCATGGCAGGGCAAGACTCAGGTATAAGATTAGCATAGGCAAACACCTCTGAAGTCCCACCACCCAAAGGACAATAGAACTTCCTTTGCATGTCTGGACCCCTTGGTAGGTCTGGTGATGGGATTAGGCTTTCCTTGGCCAACAATCAGCTCAGCAATTGTCACCTCTGGGCACTTCCTGGGGTAGGAGGTGTCTATAAATGTCTCCACGCTTGGGGAGGTGGCAGTGAAGAGAGTCCTTTTTCCAAGGGCAAAATAGTGTTGAAATGGAGGAAACTGGCAAAGGAGTTGATTTTATATGATTGTTAAAGCTAGGTAACTTCCCTGAGCTATCAAGTCGAAGGAATACCTTTATGCATAATAGTTGTAACAGTTAACAACTTTAACTGCCCCCCCCCTCCGTAATCTCCGTAACAGGATGGATGGAAGACATGGGAGCCACCTCTCAATATCTGGGGGGCTGACCCATGGAAGAGGGAGCCAGCTTGTTTTCTCCTGCCCTGGAGGGGAGCACCCAGAATAAGGGACCCAGAGGACCAGAAAGCAGTTTCTTCTGACGGGAAGAGCAGCAGAATCCCTTGGGAGATGGCGGACTCTCCTTCCTTGGAGGTTTTTAAGCAGAGGTTGGATGCTTTGGCTGAGATTCCTGCCTTGCAGGGGGGCTGGAATAGATGACCCTTAGGGCTCCCTCCCATTCTAGGATGAGGTTCCTTGCTTCCTGCAACCCCTTTTCCCTGCAACCTCTTCCTCCAGTTTCTGGCCAAGGGAGGGAGCGGATCACAGACCAACCAAGAGCGTCCCCTCAAAATGAGCATCTCTGGGATTCTGCAATGCAGGAGAGAAAAGGCAGAGAGGACTGAGCAGGGTGGACTCGGCTTTGCAAGGGTTAAAGGGAACTGAGCTGCATTCCTAGAGAGGACAGGAAGTAAAGGGGGGCCAGGTCCTCCAGGGGAAAAGCCCCTCCCTCCCCTTCCTGCAAGTGTGTGGGGGGGGGGTTGCTTTCCTCTGCTGCAAATCCTGCATTGTTCTCTTCCACGGGGATCTGGTGAGTCTCTTCCTCCCCCCCCCCGAGGGTGCAGTGGGGAGAAGGTGGGGGTCCCAGGGCTGCAGGGGTGGCTCATGTGTGTGTGGGGGGGAGCCCCTGGAGCAGGGGGTCCTGCCAGGGAGGGGCGAAATCGCACGAGGTCCGCAACTACAGTACGGTATATTCTGCATTTGTATTGTTAATGGAGAAATCTGAGGCTCCCTTGGACAAAATACAAGGACCCCAGCCAGGAATAGCAGAGCAAAACAGCAGCCAGTCGGCTTGGTCTTTCTTGAAGACTGTCGTGACAGGACTCCCACCTGCCAACCAGGTGGAACAAGATGGAAGCCCCAAACAAAAGAGAACCCAAACTTTTATTAGCTGCTAATCCCCATGTTACACCCCCCAAACTACATCACTCATACATCATGAAAGGGGAGGTCTGGTGGCAGTAATCTGAGCATCCTGGACCCTGCCCCATGGTTCTCCTTGCCCTCCACCAAACACCCATCCAGTGTAACAAAAGAGATATTTTCATTTCCCTGTTTCCCAGCCAAGTTCATCACACCCTTTTGTCTCCATCTGGGTTTGTTATTTCTGGAATGACTACCCGTCTGGCACTCAGGTATCAGGATCCCAGGAATGATCACTCAGGCAGAGGGGCTGCTGAGTAGCTGAGCTCACATGTCTATAGGAATTTCTGGAGTTTTCCCAGTGAGCCAGTACATAGATACATTGAGCAGTGAATTCTTACATTTGGTATCATGCAGCAGAGGCCCTTTGAAAAGATAGGAAGAAACTGTGATGAAGTGTTTTGTGGGGACAAGTCACAAAAGGGATTGTGCTGATTTTGGTAGTGGGCTGCATGTGTATGATATCTGCTGGAGGGGCAAAACTCCACCACCACCACCACCTATATATAAATTCCTGTAACAGTATAAATGCGCTGCTTGCCGCTTTGGGAAGGCGTCTGTGTGTCAGGGGAAGGAAAGGTAAAGGTACCCCTGCCCGTACGGGCCAGTCGTGTCCGACTCTAGGGTTGTGCGCCCATCTCACTTAAGAGGCCGGGGGCCAGCACTGTCTGGAGACACTTCCGGGTCACGTGGCCAGCGTGACGAAGCTGCTCTGACGAGCCAGCGCAGCACACGGAACGCCGTTTACCTTCCCGCTAGAAAGCGGTACCTATTTATCTACTTGCACTTTTAGGGGTGCTCTCGAACTGCTAGGTGGGCAGGAGCTGGGACCGCAGACGGGAGCTCACCCCGCCGCGGGGATTCGAACCGCCAACCATGCGATCGGCAAGCCCTAGGCACTGAGGATTTACCCACAGCGCCACCCGCGTCCCGCCGTCACGCAAATAAACTCCCTTCAGATTTAGGAATCAGCCACGTCTATTAGCATAGGCTGCAGCCAGACAGAAAGGTTTGGACAATAGATAAATGCTAGAAATGGAGAACAACAACAACCCGGACTTCCGCAATAAATCAATAAATCCTTTTGGAAGATGGAGGTGCCGAGTTGAACTGTGGAACTCCTTCCCGCAGGAGCCAGGGGGGGCCACCAACCCGGGTGGCTTGGAAGAGGATGGGGCCAGTTCATGGAGAAGGAGGAGGGGGCGGTGGGGGCTCCTGAATCCCCCAGGAGGAGAGCTTGGCTCTTGTGCTCCAGTCCTGCAGGGGCGCAAGGCAGGAGAGGCAGCAGGTTGCCCTGTGGTCAGAGGAGGCTGGACGCAAGAGGGACCCTCTGGCCTGATCCTGGCTGGCACACTTGCGCCCATTCAGTCATGCAAGCCCCCAGAGGATCTTTGGAGACTGAACAGAAAGCCCCGCTGAGAATCAGGGAAGGTCTCACCATCCAAGGCAGGAGAGGACCTGCTGGGAAGGAAGCAAACCTGGGCTGGGGGTGAAAGAGGCACCCCCCCCCCCCCGTGCTGAGAGTGGTTGGGAGACCCTCTCTCTCCATCCCGTCCCCCCGACTGAGCTCCCATTCCTGGGGATCCCGGGGGGGGGGTCTCCTAGCAACTCTCAGCATCCTTAGCAAAGTACGGTGGTACCTCGGGTTACATACGCTTCAGGTTACATACGCTTCAGGTTACAGACCCATAAATAGTGCTTTAGGTTAATAACTTTGCTTCAGGATGAGAACAGAAATCGTGCTCTGGCGGCGCGGCGGCGGCAGGAGGCCCCATTAGCTAAAGTGGTGCTTCAGGTTGAGAACAGTTTCAGGTTAAGAACGGACCTCCGGAACGAATTAAGTACTTAACCTGAGGTACCGCTGTACAGTTCCAGGCTTTTTGGAGGAAGCCAGGACTCTTGGTCGGGGCCTGATCCTGCGGTGAAGATGCAGCACCGGTTGGGTCCCCAGTGTGTTTGTTGCCTTTTTATTTTCTTTCTGGAATAACTTTCCACTGGGGTTTTGTAAACAAGAAGCCTAGGAATAATAAATAATAAAGAGTAGTAGACCGAATCTTCTCATGTAGTTTGTATGTCACAAAAAATTATCTGCTATTGACCCAAAGTTACCCTATGGGGAAACTTTAGAAGGAAAGAAAAGTAGGAGGCGTCGTCCCCCCCCCCCAGCATCTCTGGAAGGAGAGAGCTGGGTGTGCTTGGCTTGGCAAGGGTTAAAGGGAACTGAGCTGCCTTCCTAGAGAGGACAGGAAGCAAGAGGGGGCCAGGTGCTCCAGAGCCAAGGCCCCTCCTTCCCCAGTCCTTTCCTTTTTAATGCTTTATTATTCGTTTCTTATATATGTACAACATTCAATCATAATCATTTCTATTAATCCAATGAAGGTATCAATGGTCACAAAAGATACATACAATTTCGATTAGGTGCTTTCTTCACAAACCTATGACTTCCCATCCTCTCCATATTTTTTCCCTTTTAATAAACATTGCATAATTTCCGGTGTTATGCTTCGCTGACTAGCTGTACGAGTTAATCTGGTCTGTGACCGTTTAATAAAATTTGATTTGATTTATTTAACATTGCATAATTCTGTCTTTGTTATTTTGTAAAACCATCTTTTCTGTATCAATATCATTTTCCTTAATATGTATGAATTACAGAAATCATTCAAAGGCTACTACCGTGTTTAGGCTACTACAGCTACTTTTCAGATATTTCTTGAAATTGTCCCATTCTAGAACGAACTCCTGTCTAGGCATGTCTCTGATTCTTTCAGAAAGGGGGGGGGGGCTAACTCTGCATATTCTGTCAATTTCAATAACCATTCAGCCCTGGTAGGGAGTTTGTCATTTTTCCAATACATCGCAATAAGAACCCTCACAGCTGCTCTTGCATACAGAAACACTTTTCTTATACCCTTAGGAATGTCAGTGCCTGTAATGCCCCGGAAGAATGATTCTGGTTTTTTGAGGAAATTTACATTCAGCATTTTTTTTTAGTTCTGAATATATATATCATTCCAAAACCCTTTCACCTTCCTGCAGGTCCACCATAGGTGAAACATGGTACCGCCTGTTTCACCACATCTCCAACAAATATCTGGTATACTTTTGGACATCTTGGGAGAGTTTATGCGTCGTCAAATACCAGTGATACAACATTTTTTGCAGGTTTTCCCTAATAGAGTAGCAAGCGGTAAACTTCCAATTTATCTTCCATAGGTTCTCCCATTGGGACATCTCTATGGTACGGCCTGGGTTTTGGGCCCATTTGATCATAGCCAATTTAACCTCCTCCTCCTTGACTTCCCACTCAAGGAGGAGTCGGTAAGTTTTAGAAAGAGTTTTAATTTTGGAGTTAATAGCATATGTTTCAAATCTTGTGTTTTCTACCACGAATCCCTTCTTTTTATCAACCTCAAATCTTTCAAGCAATTGATAGTATTGAAACCAGTCACCTGATCTCTTAGTTCTTAGTTTTTAGTTTTAATTCATTTCCTTCCTCTTTTAGTAATGTTTGATAGGTGGGCCAATTTCCACTTGTATTCTTCCTCTTTACAGCTAGTTCCTCACTTGGTGAGATCCACCATAGTTCTAGAAGGTCTCTATATTTCTCCCAGACGTTGAATAGGGATTTTCTGATGGCATGATTCGTAAAATCTTTGTGTACTTTAGCTTTCCCATAGGTCAGGTACACATGCCAACCATACCTGATGTTATATCCTTCTAGGTCTAGTAAGTCTGGGTTCCTAAGTGTGCACCAATCCCTTAACCGAGTGAGACAGGCCGCCTCATAGTACAATCTTACATCTGGAAGGGAAAAGCCTCCTCTATCCTTAATGTCAATTAGAATTACAGTGGTACCTCAGGTTAAGAACTTAATTCGTTCTGGAGGTCCATTCTTAACCTGAAACTGTTCCTAACCTGAGGTACCACTTTAGCTAATGGGGCCTCCCACGGCTGCCACACAATTTCTGTTCTCATAGAATCATAGAATCATAGAGTTGGAAGAGACCACAAGGGCCATCGAGTCCAACCCCCTGCCAAGCAGGAAACACCATCAAAGCACTCCTGACATATGGTTGTCAAGCCTCTGCTTAAAGACCTCCAAAGAAGGAGACTCCACCACACTCCTTGGCAGACTCCACCACACTCCTTGGCAGCAAATTCCACTGTCGAACAGCTCTTACTGTCAGGAAGTTCTTCCTAATGTTTAGGTGGAATCTTCTTTCTTGTAGTTTGGATCCATTGCTCCGTGTCCGCTTCTCTGGAGCAGCAGAAAACAACCTTTCTCCCTCCTCTATGTGACATCCTTTTATATATTTGAACATGGCTATCATATCACCCCTTAACCTCCTCTTCTCCAGGCTAAACATGCCCAGCTCCCTTAGCTGTTCCTCATAAGGCATTGTTTCCAGGCCTTTGACCATTTTGGTTGCCCTCCTCTGGACACGTTCCATTTTGTCAGTGTCCTTCTTAAACTGTGGTGCCCAGAACTGGACACAGTACTCCAGGTGAGGTCTGACCAGAGCAGAATACAGTGGCACTATTACTTCCCTTGATCTAGATGCTATACTCCTATTGATGCAGCCCAGAAGCAAAGTTCTTAACCTG